CAATGTTATAATTTCCCCTCATGCAGCTCAGCTGGGAAGGCAGAGGCTGGGTCCTCAGAGTGCCCCACCACCGAGGGAGGGATTTCAGTTCTCTCCCCAGTGACTTTTTCCTCATGTCCCCCTGGCTTGAGTGACAAGTGGGTGACAGATCCAACCACCATGTCCTGCCTGACCTTGGAGATGAGAACCCAGTGAGTGTCTTTGTACAACACGGGCCTGCTCTGAGGGGCAGCTGGGTTTTTCAACACTGTTTACTTCTTGATTTGTTGCGTTGAGCATCAAACCTGTTTTCCTCCAAACCTGACATGTTTTYCCTCAGCTGGATACTGGATATTTGTGCTCAAACACAGAGGAACCTCTGTGAGCACCTGCCATGCTTTCCACACGCTTCTGAGTCTCTACAGCACATCCGGGGGTGGTAAGGTGGGGGGTGGTAAAGTGGGTGCCACMTTTATGTAAGGAATTACTTTAATTTTACACAGTCTATACCTGATTAAGAGGTAACAGTGATMCCAAAGTTCTCTGTGCACCATGAAATGTATCATATTTGCCTTTTGTGCCCCAAACACTTGACAGATAAAATGTGACGATGCCCACGCAAATCCCAGAGAGGTTGTGGAAAGGAGCTCACATAAAGCAGCAGCAAATCTTTTGGCTTTAAGGGAAAGGCTTCCTTAAGATGTTGCTGGTGCCTTGCCTTGTCCTTTTTTTCATTTTAAAATATTATTATTTGCAGCCCAGGTCCTGCCTCCTCGCTTTAGACAATTTTTCCATGGGACCTGGGCTCATCACAGATACCTTGGCAGTGCCTTTTGCAAGATCCTTCCAAAGCATGAAAAACGTCACGGTGGAAAAAATCCCTGCCCTGATGACATTGGAGCTGCCCTTGCACTCCAATGTGCAAGGAGTTTAACAAACCCTCCTTAATTAACCTGTGATGAGAAGTTGGCAGAAKGTTGTACAATAATTACAAAAATGGTGGAGAGGGACAAATGGGGCAAAACGTTGCTTTCTTTTGTGCAATACAAGGGTCTGGCCTGCAGGTTTGCAGGCAGGGTAACAGGACGGAGGGCTATAGTTCAGCCCTGCTTTGGTTATGTTGGTGCCAATTTAGCAAAGCGCAGAAACCTCTTGTGTCCCACACAGATTCRACAGGGAAGCCAAGGAAGGTATCTGCCAGAAACATGGGATTTGGCAAACAGCTCTATTTCCAGGATATTATCAGGTTCCATCACTTGTGATTGTGACAATAAGGACTGGGGATCTTTTTTAGTTTTTCTGTCTTTTAATGTGGACCTCATCTGAAAAATGTGAGGGGCAGAGCTGACAATGCAGCCTAAATCTCTGCAGTGAAAGTAGCACTTTAACATCCATGTGATTTTACATGTGGGCATTGGAAAAGTGGTGACAGATCTACTTAATTAAAGCTAAAGCTTTGGCTCTTGCAGCTCTTAGGCCACTAAGTGTCTAATCCTGCGTATTTTAAGGGATTAAAGCATTACATTAGTTGTACAGCAGTTAAYCAAATGTACAGCAGTTAAATTTTTTGGCTTTTAAAATATATATATATTTACATGTCCAGCTATAAAGGATATGGTATTTGCAAGTGGCATAAACAGTCTGTCTGGGAGGAATGAAGTTTATTTTTTAAAACAGTTACTTAAAAGYACAAGCCTTGTAAGACTAGGCTATGTTTAGCACATTCTTTGTAGTGAACTGGTAGATGTCTGGTAAGTAATAAATTATTGAGCTCTGCTTTAGCGTCTGCTTGCAACWCTGAGGCCACTAGAAGCTTGCTCTCCACATGGACACTTTGTCTGTAGAAAAAACATTAAACAAACACAAATGCTTGTTTTTCCACAGTATCTTTGTGTTAATTTGTGACAATGAATGGTATTRCTTAGCAAGGATCATGGCTTGTCAGAGGAAGCTAAAGGGGGTATTTCACAAGTGCTGTTCTGTACTTCTCATAGGCCAGGGAGGCACAAAGGTTGAGAAAGCYACCAGCTGTAATATCTCATGTGAATGTTGCCTGTCCTGGAATCTCCAATTCTCTGAAGTGCTTGCAGTAATGTTAAGGATGTACCCTTCCAAATTATTCTGTGGAATATGGTAAAGATTCCTGCAGCTTGTTGCACAGACCAAGTCATCTGCCCAAGAGATTTCACATGACACAGTGAGATGTAATCTTAAAAAAAAGGGGGTCTCTTAATTTTGTCATGAAAACTCTAATGTGTAACAGYGAAGATCTGTTGGAAAAAAAAGCATTAGCCAAGTCTGAGTTTTACCTATGTTTAATGGGTAAATATTAAATTTCTGGGTCTCTTCAAAGTGTACCTGGGGATATCACGTAGAAGTTACTCATTAACTGATTAAGATAAATAGAGATTTCATTTGAAATTTCATCTGTTTTTTCCAAAATGGAGCAGAGAACATTGCTTGCATTGATGGTCACTTCTTCACTCATAGTKTTAGCAGAAACTCTTGCTCAGAAGGTATTTGCTATATTTTTCTAATCAATATCTCATTTGCTCATTTGGTGATGCAGTGGTATCGCGAATTGGCCCGGTAATGCAGGTAACTCTTCAAGCAGCAACCACCTGGGGAGCCCTCGGTGGATTGTGTTGAGATTTTAGAGTTTTGGGTTATTTTAAGGTYTTTTTGGTTGKTTGTTTGGGGTGTTATAGTACAAATATAGCATGAGGCATTTGCAGATGTGTCTGACCATGCTTTTCCTCAGGGATGTAAGATATCAAATTTGAAAGATCAGTAGCTCTGTCTTGGCCACCGAATGAGGTTTGGACGTTGACACAAGACCAAGCAAGGACTCTCACAGTGCCAGGGGGTTTCTGGTGAATGTTTAATAATATATATGTGATGGAAAARACAGAATCATTGAATGGCCATGTTTAGCTTGGGTAAAGTTCTGAATTTCAGCCAGTGTGCTAACTGAGAAGAGGCCACTGGATGCTATTAATCAGCAAGCAAAATATAGGAGATTAATTATCAAAATAGCTAAAAATCAATTAGCCATTGAAAAGACTTTGTGGTTGGAAAAGTAAAAATAGAAGTRCAATGATTTTCTCTGATGCTGAGTTCTATGTTTTAATCAACTATTGGATCGTTGTGAGGCTGKTGATGCCGAGATCAACCTTAGTGCCAATGCTGAAATATTGGTAGGACCTYTAAAGAGACATCCCAAATGCAAAAGAGGTGTTTATGGAGGCAGATGCGGCAGGCAACTCTCAGTCCAGCCACCCTCTGGGGTGTTCCTGGGAAGCTCCAGGATGGTGCCCTCGTCCTTTGGGCATCAAGRGCCCTGAAAGACTGAGACCAGGAGAAACATGAGTGCTCAAAGGGCATCTCTTCTTGTGCAACCAGTGAGGGGCTGGGAGGCCCATGCAGGGTTTCAAACCTGCTGAACATTGTGTGGGACACAAAGTATCAAGCTGCAAAATGGACAGCAAAGTCAACAGCATGGAGAGCAAATAAACAGTCACACAAAAAACAGGGCCTTTCCCTGGGTCAGGCTTAAAGAGGTTCCTGATGTTCCTCACATAAATCTTGGGCAATACACTGGCGTGATGCAGCAGCAGCTTCACTGTACCCCAAGGAGAGAAAAAGATTCAACAGAAGCTTCTGTGCAGCAGCAAAGTGCAGATGTAGCTGCAGRTTTTGCMTGGGGCAGTGGTTGTGGCTGCAGMGATGGGAATTAACAGATKGRTCCAGAGCAATCCCTCCCCAGTTCCAGCCAGGCTTTCTAACAATTAATTCCTTCATCTGACTTTTCCAATAGCATCATCCAGGTAAAGACTGCTTGGGAGCAAACCCTGGGTGTTTCTGTCTCAGTCTATTTTTCTTCCAGCCTTCTGTTCAAATATACAGCCTCCATGTGGACTGCAAGGTCACATCACGATTTGCTCACACTGTCATCACCAGCAGAATTGTCAACCGAGCCAATGAATCCCGAGAGGCCACCTTTGAAGTGGAGTTACCCAAGACAGCCTTCATTACCAACTTCTCCATGTAGGACCAGTCCTTACCTGCAGGGTGAAGGAGGCAGCTATGGGGGGGTTTCATCTTTGTGCTCGGGAGCTGCTGGGCAAAGAGTACAMAGAGGGTCCTCTGCAAAAATGATCTGTGGGGCAAAGTAGTTGGCAGCCAAATAGAAAAGAGGCACCCAGGGTCAAGCTGCCTGCTGTACAGGGTAGGTGACAG